ATACAGGTGGAGCATTCACCAGGTGGGGCCCCCAGAAGAGTCCACTAAGATACAAATGGAGCATTCACCAGGTGGGACCCCCAGCAGAGTCCACTGAGATACAGGTGGAGCATTCACCAGGTGGGGCCCCCAGCAGAGTCCACTGAGATACAAATGGAGCATTCACCAGGTGGGGCCCCCAGCAGAGTCCACTGAGATACAGGTGGAGCATTCACCAGGTGGGGGCCCAGCAGAGTCCACTGAGATACAGGTGAAGCATAAACCAGGTGGGGCCCCCAGCAGAGGCCAATAAGATACAGGTGAAGCATTCACCAGGTGGGGCCTCCAGCAGAGGCCACTAAGATACAAATGGAGCATTCACCAGGTACATTCCCCAGGAAGTAGGGTTTCAGGGAGAGGTAGGGCTCAGAGCAGCAGGAATGAAGGATCCATGCACTTGGTCCCCCTGAAGACCTTCTAGTGAGCCAAGTATGGTGGTGCATGCCTACAGTCCCTGTACTCAGGAGCTCAAGGCCGTCCTCAGCTACATATAGAGTTCCAGGTCAGCCTGGGGTACTTGAGAAACTATCTCAAAAGAATTATTACATTAATTTTTTGACTTAGAATTAGAACAAGATGTCCAACAACTTCTGGAATTTCTCTAAACATATTCCTGCCATTTTCTACTATGTATTTATGTGAACTACTGTTCTTGATTATTAAATCAAATGTTGATCAACTTTGAAGAACACTGAAGATATCCTATGCCCTTCAGATCAAATATTTAGCCAGGATTCAATTCTTTATTTAAAAAAAAAACCATATCCTTCTAATTAACATGTAAATTTCTTTTGTCTTTAGTAAATGGTAAAAGTATACTTATATCAAAGAATTGTTTTTAAATTAACTTCTTTATTGTTTATTATTACTAAATGTTGGGTTTACATACCTAATTTATATACCTATTTACTTAGGATGGTATAAAAAATTCTCAGGCAGAAAATATTTATAAGTGAAACAACTTAAAAAGCATTCTAGATCACCCTAGCATCTGTCCACTCCTCTCTGGCACTCCTGTGTTTGGGTTCAGTCTCTCATTCTCGCCTCTAGGTTAGTCCAGAAGCTCTGGAACATGTGCTGTTCAAACCCTTCCTTCCTGCTTGGCCAGTGTCCTCCACATCTACACAAGCTCTGAGAATTTCCCCTTTCCTGCAGTGTATGCAGCACTTGTGAGGTGAAAATGTCATCTGTGCTGAGAAGGATCAACATCTACCATAGACAAGAGAAGGAAGCATTTTATTCCATGTTTTTTTTTTTATAATTAAAGAAAATACAAACCAGACTCGAGCTCTCTTCTCTTACTTTCTTTTTGTCTTCCCTCCACCTTTATTTTCTCCTGTCAGTCTCTCCCCAGCAGCCTTGCCTCCTCCGGTACTGTGCTATTTCTGGAGTCTGTGCTTTTGCTAAGGACTGTCTTCCATGGAGTGCCCCCATCTGCCACCTGTTCTCTCTTCTGGCTAACTCTATCATTGGATACACAGCAATGGGAACTCTGCTGACCCGGATTCCCGGCTATGGTGGTTAAGGCATTTGTCCTCTGTGCTCCCTCTGAACCCCAGGCCCCTCATGTGGCAGCATCCCATTGTCTCTCTGCAATTGCCTCCCCACTAAGTTATCAACTCCCAGAAGAGAAAAAACAGTTTTTATTCAACTTTGAATGGATTCCCATGAATGGGGATGGATGGAATGGGAATCGAATGAATCCTCACATAAAGTTTGACACAATTTAAAATGCACTAAAAGGGATTGATTAGGTAAATGAATGCCAGGATTAAAGATGGGCACCAATTCTGTCACTTCACTGTCCATTAAATCTGGGTTGGCATGACACTGTTATGACCATGAGAGGACAGAACAAATGACTGAGTGCTAACTTTGGGCCAAGTCTTTGGGACTCCTGGCAACACTAACTTCTTCCTCTTGGAACTGAGTAGCTCTGCTCTGCAGATCCACACAGCCATGGAACGTCCTCCTGGGGGAACCATCGGCTTGGCCAGCCCCTGTTGCCAACATCAGCCCATGTCAGTACCAACTCAATAGCATGTGACTCGATTATTCTGAAGGTGCTCCTCTGTCCTCAGAAGCAATTGAGCTGCCCCAATGACACAAACAGAATCAAGCTGGACTGTGCCTAGCAAGCCCTGGCCATATTGCAAATAAAGGTGTCATGGTTTTAAGGCTTGAAAATGGCTTGTTTGTAACATTAGAGGAAAACAGTGGAATAGTCCTGCTGGCTGAATTGAAGGGTTTTCTGGTCACGGCCACTTTCTTCCTTTCTTACCCTGTGTCCTTCCAACTCACTTCCTTGCTTAGTTGCCAACAACATCCCTAGTGACTTGTTAGGAGGCCCTTTCAATGTTACAAAATACTGTAGGAAAGGTACGTGTTTTATTTTTTATAGTTTCACAACTTCCAGAAATATCATAACTATTTTTCTTAGAAAGATGGACCTTTTTGTTGGTTATTTTATGAGGGAGCTCACCCTGTTGTGGAATATTATTTTAAGATGTGTTACATTTGTTTATGCTGTGGAATATTAGCTTAATGATTCAAAAATGTGTTGCATTCTTTTACGTTGCATTTCTTTAACCCTGCAAAGCTGTGCTACTTTGCCTGTCTAAAACACCTGGTTGGTCTAATAAAGAGTTGAACAGCCAATAGCTAGGTAGGAGAGAGAAACAAGCAGGCCTGGTGGACAAAGAGAATAAATAGGAGGAGAAGAGCAAGAAGGATGAGCGAGAAAAAAAGAGGGGACCAGGAGCCAACCACCCAGCAAGACACGGATTAAGAAGGGAAGAAAGATGGAAAAGCCCAGAGGCAAAGAGTAGATGGGATAATTTAAGTTAAGAAAAGCTGGCTAGAAATAAGCCAAGATAAGGCCAGGCATTCATAAATAAGAATTAAGTCTCCATGTATTTGTTTGGAAGCTGGGTGGGGGCCCACAGAGCAAAGAGTGAAGAAAAAAACCAACTACATCACCCTGTTTGCAGTCTGGCCTGGAACTCACTGTGTGGCAGACCTTAAACTTGAAATTCTCCTCTTGTCTTATTGAAATTACAGATGTGCACTTTCATGCCTGTCTAGGAGATGCGTGTTCCTTTCCAATAGGCCTAGTGGCTGTAATCCGAGCACTGTGGCAGCCGAGGCAGGAGGATTGCCATTAGGCCACAATGGACTCATAGTAAGTTCCAAGCCAGGCTGGGCTATGGAGTGAGATGCTGTCTTGGGGGTGTGGGGGGGAAACAGGTAGGGTGGCACACATCTTTGATCACAGTACTTGGGAGGCAGAAGCAGGCGTATCTCTGTGAGTTCAAGGTCAACTTGGTTACACAGTGAGAAAAACAAGCAAACAAACATGAAACCAGGGCTGGGGACACGGGTCAGTGGTAGAGAACTTAGCATGCACAAAGACCTGGGTTCCATCCCTAGCTCTGAAACCAAACCGAAAAGAGCATGTCTTTCAAAGACTTTTCCAGAAACAAAGCAGGCTGTCCTCAGGAGCAATGAGCAGGGACACTAAGGGCCCATCAGAGCTCATATGCTCTTCACAATGAGAAAAGAGAATCTTCAGCATCATCTCTGTTCAGATTTGCACTCAGCTGTCTGCAAACTGATTTTATTCCCAACACTTCTGACACTTCTGAACACAAAGCATCTCCCTCATAGGCATTAATTGCTTTTGTTTGTTTGTTTGTTTTGTTTTTTGTTGTTGTGTTTTTGTGACAGAGTTTGCCTGTGTAACAGCTCTAGCTGTCCTGGAACTCACTCTATAGGCCAGGCTGGCCTCAAACTCAGAGATCCACCTGCCTCTGCCTCCTGAGTGTATTAAAGGCGTGCACCACCATCACCTGGTGGCATTAATTCTTTAACTTGGGATTCCACCTGCATGCCCTGCGTTCAGCCTAGTTCTGTCAGGTGCTCAGAGTTAGTAGACTCCACAGGCTGAGAACTCAGTCATTTTACACACTAACACCTAGTCCTGTGACCAACCAGCCATGGAATGTATGTGTGAGGCGAACGGGTGGAGGCTCCTCCTCAGGAGCGGTAATTTGCTCACAAAACTCAGGAAATGCTTTTTGTCGTCGTCGTTGTTGTTGTTATGATTTAAGAGGAGCCAAAAGGAAGGGCTACACAGGGTAAGGTCCTGGGAAGCCTTCCTGCTCCCTCTCGGAGCACACCATCCTGACAGCCCCTATGGCCTCCAACCTGGAAGTTCTCCAGATAACCTTGTTTCAGGTTTTGATGGAGGCTGTGTCACATAGACTTGATTGATTATATCATTGACTGTTGGCGACTAAATTCACCTTTAGTTCTTTACTCCCTGGAGGTTGTGTGGCTCGAAGCTCCAACCACATACTCATTCACATGGCTGTCTCCTCTGGCACACTCTCTTGGGCCACCAAGAGCCAACCAGCTCAGCTATGGCTGGAGGGACTTGCATGAACAATAACAGCATTATTCATCTCCCATTCCCCCTCTCCCCACTACTAGGGAACTTCCGGGGGCTTAGCAGCTCAGAATCAGGAAGGAAGGACAAACCCAGAGTAGGGATTTCTTCTTACACATCAATGTTCTGAGCCTTTTTCTGTAGTCTGTTAACATAAACACCCATCACCCCTACACTCTTCTTCACTTCGGAAAAATGCAGAATTTATTTTTTTGCGTGTAAAGATTCCCACTTTAAGATGAAATTCACGTTAGCATGCCTTTGACAATGGCTCAGTCAGCCTTCCTTCCTTTCTT